AACATGCTCATATGTCGGAGTATTAGATTTGATGGCTAAAAGTGGTCACAATCTAAGAAATAAAATTATATGGGTAGGGTCGGAATGATGTCACGACCCAACTAGAAAATAGAAATTATATAGGATAGTTCGAATTGATGGAACGACCCCATTGAAAAAGAGAAATAATATGGGTAGGGTTGGAATGATGGCACGACCCTACTGAAAAAGAAAAATTGTACGGATAGGGTTGGAATGATGGCACAACCCTATGCAAATCAGATTTGAGGAGTCACCGGAAAGACGAATGGAACTATGCAAATCAAATCTGAGGAGTCACTGAAAAAGACACATGATGCTACGCAACTCAGATATGAGAAAATAGTTCGAAAAAATCCACGGTACTACACAAATTAAATATGAAAAGTAGTCCGGAGAGATGCACGGTGCTACGCAAATCAGATATGCAAAAAAAAGGTAGTCACCGGAAGGATGGCACGGTGCTACACAAATTATATATGAAAAAGTAGTCACCGGAATGATGGCACGGTGCTACACAAATACCAACGGATATGGGGTTGACACAAAACAGCCCTAGAAAGTCACCGAAAATTGATGCATGGTGACCTGTCTGACTAAGTTTCTTCCCTTGAACATGGGGTTCATGCATGTATCATTTGTCCTACTTTTATTAACATAATCATTGGCCAGACGGGCGGCATATATGGGTAATAGCCACCCGCCGGCAGCGGAAACTCTTTGATTTTCTACCAAGATCGTAGAGGCTCTGATACCATGTTAAATTAGGTCTTGGGCCTAACTCACACCCCAAAAGCTAGCTCATAGGGAGAAGGATTGCACAAGCCTTATAATGAGTCCACCCATCTCATTAATTACCGATGTGGGACTTTTTTGTCATTCTTTAACAGACACAAAGTTCCCGTCATTTCTGGCTTTTGGATTTCGGTACAATCCAAACTCTGACCATGGGCTAGATATTGCCGCTATAAGAAACGAGAGCATGTTAAGTACAACACTACCCTCTAGAACACCAGAAACGCACTCTTACACACATTGATATAATTTAATACTTTAGTAGTACAGTACAAATGTAAAATGTTGGCCTAAACTAGATTCCAAGCCTAAACTTTAAGGAGGTAGATGTTTAAACATAAGAAAGTCGGTTCAACTTACATTCCAGGCTCTGAATCTCATCCCAATTAAAGTTATAGGTGAATATTTCAATAGTTATGTTAAGTCCTGGGACAGTATTCGATAAATTGCTGAATGGCGATTGAAGAAATGTAGTCTTATCCACCAAATTAATAGAACCCAGGCAGAAGGGTAGTCCATCCTTTGTCATTTGAACAGGACAGTCCAGGACATCTGCACCATCCGAAACAGCTTTTATATAAGCCATATCAGTACAACCAAGGTAGTCTCCACTTGCTCCTTCAAATGTGATAATCAAAAGCTTTTCTGTAGGTCAACAGGAAATTGGGAAAGAGTGAGGAGATATAGAGATATGATTTGATAAGAATCAAAATTGCCCTATACCGGTTTTAAAAATGTTTATTACAAGAAAAAACTAGTTACAAAGACAACATAATTTAAGAGTAGACGTTGATGGATCATGTAGCTAACGACGGGTTCTTTAGACCTGATGCACCTTATATTTACAGATTACCGGTACAACCCTCGCTAGCGGAAAGGTAGCATACAATTGCCGATTTCCCTTGAATAGGGACCTACCCGTTGTATTTGACTCCTTTACGAGAGGTCCACCATTATTGGTTACCTCTCAAGGCAAGGAGAGACAACAATTACATGATTCATTCTCAGAGACAACGATTACATGATTCATTCTTGGGAACTTCCCAAACATAAGATTTGATATGACAGTGTTTACAGACTAAATTACTGAATTGTTAATTCATTTATACTTGCAGAAAACAGACAAGACTAATTATTGTTGCATTAGGGCATTTATTTATGATATTTTTTATCATTATACTAGCATGTTTTCCGACTTATACCCATTATAACATGTTTGTGGTTAAGTGCTATTATTCAAAAAGCTAGTGACTCACTACCCGCTATATTTTTACAGAGACCATAGGAGACATTGGCAAGGATTTATGTAGTTAGAGTGCACGAGTTGAAAATTTCTGGTGAGCCCCATATTGCTTCGCGCGGGCAACAAGTTGGGTCGTGACAACATGACTCAATGAAATATTATAGTTCTTTTCTCTTGAAAAGCTAAAGTATCTCCAAGACAATATAACTCTCAATTTTTTTGCTACTCCACACCTAGATAAGCTCATTTAATTAGACATGAGAATTGATCTCAGTTTAAGAATTTCACGAATCAAATCTATTTCAACTTGAGTACACAGTATTAGCTCAAAAATTTAGCATGATAACGGTTTGCATTTTCATATTTCAGGAATAAAATACACCATCTACTGCGGAAAACAACATTCACCAATGTCACAAAAACAAGTTGCTTACCTTGAGGTTTATCATTCTTGTTCAAATGAGCGAAGCAATCTGCAATATTACAGCAAGTATAGGAATAATGATGAGTACCACGATAGAAAGCAAAATAGCACAAAACTTGAAGAATATAAAATGCAAAAAGTTTTTGAAAGATAACCAAACCCAAGATATTATAGGGGCAACTGAGCTCACCGTCATCTATCCACCACATTTACAAATCTAGTGTGTCCAAGGTCTACTCTTTGATGCTATTAGTGATCAATTTATCTTAAAGAAAGAGCACAGAGCATCTATTATTCATCAATTGTAGCATGGTTACCTATCGTCGCTGATGCAGTTACTGGGAAGTCAGACAATACTCCATCCACAGAAAAGACGCCATTGTCAACGAAGGACAAATACTCAGATGTGGGATCATAGCTGTAATTGTAAGCAATATGTACATCATTTGCAAACTCCGATGCAAAAATCTGAAGGCCTTCTTTATGAGCATCTAAGACAAGCGATGTATATGGTTGTAAGTAGTGGAAATTGTCCACCGGCCAGATATAAGATTTGGGAACAAGAATTCCAGAGGCAAACGTTTTGATAAACGTGAGGTTCTTCAATAAAGAACCGTATGTTTGATTTGTTGAAGGCTCAACATCATCCTTTCTGAGAAACCGGAAAACAAGTTTTGGATTGAATCGTGCCACAATACTCGTGAGGAAAGTCACCTCAGGTGATGAAATATAGCTGATGAGAACATTCCTGGATAGAGATATAATATAACTTGTCATACTAGGATTATGCTGGGTGAAGAAGTTGTCAACAAAAAATCAATAAAAGCAGTACCGATACAAACTCAAGGCACAATACGATAATATGTTGCAGCAACACATTAATTGATAACAACAAACTGAAATAAATTAAAACCAGAGTACCTACCTGTATGTTCAACCATAATCCCAGAGGTTTGCCACATCCTGGACCGTAAGAATTCTACTCTGTTCCATCAAATTTTTCAGTTCGAATATAAACTCCTTGCCTCACTGTCCTCAAAAAGAAAAAATCATAAAAACATTTTATTTCAACTGGGTTAAATGTTCTGGAGCATAACCATGTGAATTCACAGTGAACTTTAGCCATTAAGTTCTTATAAACCTACAAACGATTCATCAGATAGTTACTAACTGCAACAGAATTAACATGTACAGTCACTTAGTTAGAACATATTTTATATGTATTTATACCGTTTTCTTCTCTTTATCAGTGCTCAAACCCTTGACTCTCTTCTGTTTCTTTTCAAAAATACGATCCACCCTCTTCGGTCTCTGTTAAGAATCACTGACGGAACAATTTTCCGGCGACTGGGCATAAATCGCGTGTCCGTGCAAGCGATCGCCGTTTACTCATAATAAATTTTTAAATAATTATTTTGTCTTATGCTAACTCAACTACAGTATTAAATATAAATATTTTCATAGAAAGTGAATATTCAACTTTGATTTTTTAATGGCCTATTTGTTGATATGGAGTTTTTATTTCTAATAAAAAATTTAAGAAATATATATATATTTAATGAGCCATTACATACCATTGCAAATATTTTACATTTATTTTGAAATTTTTTAAAGCTGAAGTTGTGTTTGATATAATTTTTATGAATAATATTTAGTTGTTTGAGTATACTTTTCCTAAAAAAACAATCATGAAGTGTGATTAATTAAACATGAACTATAATTTAAATGAAATTATTGTTACAAAATAAAAAAATTAAGGTAAATTTTTAAAAAGAAAATATAGTAGTATAAGCTTTTTTAACTGTTGTTTCATGATCAATTAACACTATTTATTTTATAAAGCAAAATTGCTTGGACATTGATTCCAAACTCTTGTATTATACTGTACGACATGATACGTGGAACATAACACTATCAAATCACATAAGTTGTATATTGAACTTACAGATGACAGGTGCGAGATCGTTGAAATTGAAATCTATAGAAAACCATCCTTGTGTTGAAACTCCATTCACTAAGTATTCACTCTTTTTATTTTTGTAGTAAATATTAATGTCAGAGGCATTGTCAAGCTTGAGGTCAGGAAAACAGACACCAACCCCATCTTTGGTGAGTTGCACATCACACCAAATAATGACATTGGACAAGCTAGTGTCCATTGCCATAATATATGCCGCGTAGCTTGAATCAGGAAATAATCCAGAAGATCCACCACGCGCTATCACTAATGGTGCATCTCCTACAATCAATAAATTAAAAACACTATAACGACTACGAAACATTGTAAAGCTAAGGTTGTGTTCAGATACTTACATATCATGATCCCCAGACGGACTACAGTAATGATTAAAAAAGTGAGCAAACGAAAAGAATTATGTTACCACTTAGTGTTTGATATTTTGTTTGAAATTTTTTACCAGCAACGTCTATTGCAAAGAGCAATACTAAGCATGAGAAACACCGAAGATTCCACATTGCCACTTGCAGCCAAGGAATTAAGAAGATGAAGGAAGAAGAAGCTCAGATAGATTGTAAGGATAGAGAGGCTTAGGTTCAAAAGTGTTATCTCCTGTATTCAGATTAGCAAACCAGAAATAATAAAAGATGAAAAGAAAAACACAAAGAACTATCCGAGTCCACAGAGCCCACTGTGTGTCCTTAAGAAATTTAATCCCCTCAAGTACCCGAGGTTGCAGATTAATTCCTCCCAAGATAAAACGGATTAACCATTAAAGAAGTAGCGGTACCTCAAACTTCGATAATTTCAACGAACTCAAAATGACAGCAACGAATCACACACACAGACACGATCGATCGATTTTGTTTTGTAAGAAATGTATGCAAAAGAAGGGAAGAATTCGATTCATAAAAATGAGAGAAAACCTCTCTATTTATAGCCAACAAAGGGTAAAGGTCACAACCCTTTGGAAAGAAGACAACCTTTCCGAAAGGTCACAACACTTTGGAAAAGGCATAACCTTTCAAACGGTCACAACCCTTTAGAAAGGACACAACCTTTCATAAAGTTCACAACCCTTCGGCATAATCACAACTCTTCAGAAGAGTCACAACCCTTCATTTCATGTTCACACCTTTAAAACCCAACAAAAAGTTGTTGTGAGATTTTTTGGATCGTATCTTCATCATAAGGGTTACTTTAATTTTTACTACTACCCCTCCTTCACCCGGAAAAAAAAACAAAACAAAATAATTAACATCAGCAAGTATTTTGACTATTTCACATTGATTTTTACTATATTTTTGGTAAGATGTGGCTGTTGGTGCATTTCGACTATAACTAGTTATAGCTATTTAAAATTGCATCCAGCTAGTATATTTTCTCAATAATATAATAAACAGCTGAAATATATGTGTGACTTGCCTTTTTATGATGATCATATATATTGGTTAATTACTCATGTGTTTTGTTAAACTAGTGTTGTTACTCCATATTAAACGTACGGTAATATAGTTCAAAGAAGAGTTCAAGTCTTAACACACACAAAAATTTCAGTTAATTGATGATTAGATGTGTTCTTTTAGATTTCACAAGCATTAAAATTAAAATTTATCAATAATTGAGGAATCAAACTGCTATATATTGTCCCTACATATACTTCCCATTTAAAGAAATGAGGGACGAAAATAGCTCTATCACCTTTAATTTGATGATGATATTAAATGGATTATTCTGGTAAGTTTGCTTTGTTACAGACTGGAATTTTATAAGTTGGAGATAACATTACTTAAATAGTTTAAAAGACATGTGAGGAGTACGTAGCTTAATTATTGGAGAGTTGTCCACATATTCACCCTGATATAAAGGGTTTAAATCTCACTGTATTTCCCACGCAAATACAAAAAAAAGTTCTAAAAATATGAATCTATAAATATATGATTCTCACGTAACAATCCATATACTATTAACATTCATCTCGTTAAATCAATTATCATTTGTCACATAGTACGAATATGATAAATGACACAAAAATGGAAAGCATTATTAATGAATTTTGTTGTTCATTTTTTTTTTATTTACTTTGAGTGGTAAGAATTATGTAAATAAAATATGTATATAATGATATGAAACACTTCATTTTATTTTACCTCTAGGGGTCAATGTTACTATCTTACTTCAATAGAAAAATATTCATGAATTTTGTTGGCAGTAATAACAATAAATAATGAGTAAAAAAGAAGAAATGCAGAGAAAAAATAAACTTGAGGGATGTCTAATTAAGTGAAGTGCTCTATATCTGCAAAGTGAACAACCAAATTAATTAGTCAGTCATGACATGATTTGTTGTAACATTATTTTTTTGGTTCATGGGTACAAGTTAACGTAAAAATGAATCCTGAAATATCTAATAAGCATATTACTATAGATTAAATATCACGCCCCGAGCCTACACCTACATGTAAAATAAAATGAAGTGTTTCATATCATTATATACATATTTTATTTACTTTGTGGTAAGAATTAACTCAAAGATTCTGGGTTCAATCTATGTGTATTAAGTTATTTGGTCGATTTACCTTCTAATGTGAGATTTTTCGATGAATATGAATTTAGTCAGATTCTAATACGAATATTGGATACCGAATAAAAAAAAGAAAGAAGATAATTATCCATCTTATTCTCATGCATACGAGTTGCGACGAGTTGATGTAAAATAAATTTGAGCATTTTTTAAGCAATAGCACAAACAGGAATTTTTTAACTTAATTAAATCATAATTTTATTATGTGAAATTATAAGTATTACTACTAATAAATTATGTAAGTCAATACACGTTGCCATACGGAATATAAACATCGAATACTAAAGGATCTTATACTATGAGTTTGCAACAAATAACTACTTTTTAACAAACTTACAAGAAGAATCAATACATGTAAAGTCATGTACATAAGTATTTTCCTTTAATTTCCTTTTGTAAGAAAATTCTTTGCCTCTTCGTTTTAATTTCGTTTGGAGGCTAACAACTTATTGTTGTAGTTATGGGCGGACCCAAGTTAGGCGAAGAGGTGCCAAGCGACGCCCCTTCATTGAAAATTTTTACTATATATTAATACTATGTATAAGGTTTATGTAAAATAAAATGACATTATTTGACAATAATAGTTTGATGGCGTGTTGGTTCTCCCTCTGAATTTGGTGTCGCGGGTTCTATCCTTAATCAAATCTTATCTTTTGCAAAGTATGAGATGGCATGTTGGTTCTCCCTTTGGTTTTGGTGTTTGGCGTCGCGGGTTCTATCCTCAATCAAATCTTATTTTTTGCATTTGCAAAATATGTTACTCATACTAAAAAGATGTGGTTAAGTAGTCTTGAACCCAAGACCTCCTTTAGCTTAAAACTAATTTAAACCAATGGAGTTAAGGATGTAATCTATTTATAAATGCGATAGTTAAATTTTTAACTTGCTTTCTATAAATATTGACATCGCTTACTAAAAATTCTGCGTACGCCACTAGTTGTAGTTACTTTTTATATACAATGAATTAGTTCAATGAAAACATATAATCAAATGGGTTCAATTTGCGTATCGACTCACCCATGAACCGATAATTAACTCATCAAATGTCATGAGTATTCTTCAAATTGAATCAAACTAAGAAAAAAAATTCAACTAGAAGTTTGGTTTGACTTGATTTGGTGTTGAAAAAATCTGACTATATTTAGGTTGGGTTGGTTTTAACTTTAAAAAACCAACCTGAGATTAAAACAACCACACACACACACATATATATATATTTATTTTATTATTATTTTTTATTATTATTATTTTTATTTATTTATTTTTAAAATTTATTTTATATATAAAGTATTTACTTTAATATAATTTATAAAGATTTCTTATACTTTTTCATAGTATTTTATCTTTTAACATATTATTTCAAGTTTGACTTAGAATTTTGAATGACCCAATAAAGATTATAGTTCATAAATATTAGTAACTCTAATAAAACTCAAATCAATACTAACGTTAACAAAAAAAAAAAAAATCAATTCAACACTAGGAATGACAATAATATAATGTTGAATATTTGTTCTTTAGTTTTACATTGATTTTAGAGAATTAAAATACATAATCTAATTTTAGATTTTTTTAAATATTTAGTCATGTACTTAATATTTATTAGACTTCAACAACAACAACATACCCAGTGAAATCCCACATGTGAGGTCTGAAGATGGTAGAATGTACGTAGAGCCAGTATCGGATCCAAGATCGTCATTAAGGGGTGTCGATGGTTGTAGTAAAAAAATATAATTATGAGGTATCGATGGTTGTAGTAAAAAAAATTAATTATGTGGCTATTAGGACTAGAATACATTGTCATTACGGGGTGTCGATGGCTGTGGTAAAAAAATATAATATGAGGTGTCGTGGTTGTAGTAAAAAAATATAATTATGTGGATATTAGGACTAGAATACACAACCTCAAGGAGGATTCACAACACCTTAACCACTAGATTAAGCTTTTAACTTGTGTTAAGAAGTGTCAATACTTGTATATATATTTATTGAACCAAAATTTGACCTCTATATATAGTGTAATTTTCCGACGACCCCTTCGGTATGGGTGGGTCCGCCCCTGCGCAGAGCTTACCATTATCTCATGGAGGTAGAGAAGTTGTTTTCAACAGATACTTGTTATACCTTTTTTTTAAGCATAATTTAGTACTTTTAAATTATGATCATTTTTATATGACTTATTTATTTGCAATATTTGTTTTATGCAATTTCATTATTATTTTTTATTGAATATTTAGTGTCATCACTCACATCATATTTTATGTTATTTTCTTAAGAAACACCTTAGATAGTTGTATTTTGATAGGACTAAATAAATATTTTAATTAAGCACAAGTTAATACGTTTGTATGAATATTTTACTGAAAATATCTTTAAAACCCGAGAAATTCAAAAAAGATCCAAGAAAATCCGAGGTTGATTAATTCAAATTTTATTAGCTAGGCTTTTCTATTTTTATACCTATAATACTTATATGCGGTATTTCATGTGGGATAATCTAATTTAAATCTTTTCCTATTTTTATACCTATAATACTTAATTATTTCTCCTCGCTATCTATTAAATTCATGTCATCAACATTGTATTAATTTCAATCGTTATAAAATGGGCAAATTACAGAAATCACATACTGTTAAGGCAAAATTACAATCTATCCCTTAAAAGCTTATAATTACAGAAATCCCTCAAACGAATACAATAATATAAGCGCTGATACATTAATCTGATACGCGAGATACAATAATATAAGCGCTAATACATGCGCGAGATACAATAATATAAGCGCTAATACATGCGCGAGATACAATAATATAAGCGCTAATACATGCGCGAGATACAATAATATAAGCGCTAATACATGCGCGAGATACAATAATATAAGCGCTAATACATGCGCGAGATACAATAATATAAGCGCTAATACATGCGCGA